ATTTTATATCAATTTTATGACTACTGCATTATTTTTTAAAATCTAAAAGGTCAAAATCCAAGATGGCGGACCGAATTTGTAACACAGGCGACTGATTATACTCACATATCATTACTACCTGGTATGTTTCGATTATAAAACAGCATCATAAACAAGTAAACTTTTTCACCTTCTATTTGCTTCGTGTGTATTTACTGAAATGAATAAATTTCAAGAAATTGAAGATGGGCGGATCCATACAAGATGGCAAATTGAAGATGGCAGAAACCAAAGCAGCAAATTTATTCCTAACAAAAAAATTTTCAGCTTATTTTTATTTTTCCGAACAGAAATACTAAAAAGATATCGCAAACTGTGCGTTTCACTTTTAAAGTCTTATTATATATTATACATGCAGTATTACAAAGATTTTTACTCACTCAAGGGATTACCTTGGATAAACAACTTTTCATTTTATTTCATATGTTTACGTTCCAAACTTTGGTCGGCTGCTTTCATGGTGTACACTTAATTAGGGTATTTAGTAAATAATCCCCTTCTGGCGCCTGGGACACCGCCTCATTATGCAGCGGCGTAGCRAGGGCATTTTGGCAAGTACGCACGAGACAGTTCAGCACGCAAGCTCCTAAAATATTACCACACCAATTTCTTTTTCAATTTCTTTGTGATATGTATTTGATAAAATGACAGCACTTCAAAGCTTACGAGCAGTGACACAATCTCCATACAGTTAGCACGAGCCAAATTAAAAGAAATTTCCAATGAACAAGGTATTCAAGTCAAAAAGAAACATTTAGGTTGCCCCTAACAACACTGTAGTTTTCACGACAAAACATAAGTCTCAAAACTTTTTCGTTTCTCACTCAACTGAGAACCGTATCAATAATGTTGTTTTTTTTGTTTTTGTTTTTGCTTTTGTCTCTTTTTTTCGAAGCAAAATCAAACTATTTGGACATTTTAAAGATATTCAATGCACTTTATTGTATTACAGAAAAGAGTAAATTTACAACACTGGTGAAATTCTGAACTACGCACGTGCGTATATGCGTAAAGGACGCTACGCCCCTGAAATGGTCTAAAAAAGGGACAGTTTTCCGACAAGCGAAGCTAAGCTTCGAGGGCATATGTGGTATTTTGAACACCATTTCTCTTCCAAACACATTATCACCCGATAATTCAGTGAACCAGAAGGGGTTTATTTATTTTACAATGACTTCATTTAAATGGATTCAACTTACGGAAAGCTCCGTTACGTTCATAAGTCTCCAGACTCACGTTGAGAGAAATCAAAATATTTATCTCTTTTCTCCGTCCAAGCTGGACATAAATGCAGTTATTTTGCCGGGTAGTTTAAAGCTGTTTCCATCATTTTGTTCGTCATAAGCCGTTGATTTTTTTGTGTTTTGTTTTAGCTTAGTTTATAAAATCGAGTTGGAAAGCAAATCCAAAAGACTTTCTTTACATGACAACATGGATGTTAACCAATGAGATGTTTTCAATGTATTTAGTTGATTTTTTTGTGTTAGTTGCTGGCGTTGTTTTTCCCCAACCATTCCTTTTACTTCAATCTCACTCGTTTGTAAAATTCGAATTTCGTTGTTTCCCCCCCCC